ATCTTCCAGTTTTCGTTGGAGAGACTTCTTTAAAAATAAGAGCACATGAGATCACAATGGAAACTAGGAATCTGATTTCCACTAGCCACTATCCTCTATAGACTTCTTCTCTTCATTTTTCAAGTAATTTCCTTTTCATTTTCATCAAATTTATTGATTTGTTAAAAACTTTCAATCTTTTTTACCGAAAAAGGCAATTATTGCATTCTTTAAAAACTTTGAATCTTTTTTACCGAAAAAGACAATTATTGCATTCTCTCAGGTAACGTTTGTAATATTTTCAATTAACTTTATAAATCCATTATAATCAAATATATAAACATTGAGATTCATCATTTTTTAATGCATCTATCTCGAATGCAAATTGATTAATTGGGGATTATAGTAGTTGATGTGTTATGTTAGGTTTTTGCTAGAGTTACGTCTTTTTAACTATGAAAGAGGGAGTTTTTCTTCTTATTTGTTTCAATAGTCAAGCTTAATAATCAAATATGATTCGGTATTAGTTATTTTTGAAAAATAAACACTTCTTTTTCAGGAAGTTAGCAAATTCGAACACACATCTATCTCAACATTCTTAGAATTGTGTTCTTGTTTGATCTGTCGAAATTGAAATGTTAATTTTTATTGCTTTCAACCTTCCTTGATTTTAAGATATGATTGATAATGAATTTTATATTACATGAAATGTCTTCACATACACTTGAGAGTATGTTGATGTGGATATTTGAAGTAGGCTTAGATTGGTATTTAGTAGTCTTTTTCTAAAGGTATTCACGATTATCTATTTGCTCTTTATAAATTAAGGTTTTGTTTTAGAACCTAGAATCTGGTGTTATGCGTCTGTTCTTAATATGATCTATTCTAAGAACCACAAATTACTTAACATTCATGGTTATTTGAGCTTTTATATTCTATTTTTATATAGTTTATCAATGGAGAAATATCCTAACAACAAGATGTTTTGGCCATCGGGAGATTATTGATGGCAAGCTACTGAACTATAGACATAATATTTCTCTTTTTATGGGTTTTGTATTTTTTTTTCTCTGGATCTTACTGAGTGGTTTGTGATTTTGTTCAGGTTGGTAAATATATTTGGCTAATTTTAGTATGTTTTCCGGTTTATTTTCTTTTATTCACTTTTCATAGTATAGAAAATTACCATTATAATTGCTCATGTCCAGGGGGCACGTTGTGGTATGGGATGAATTGTAGAAATTGGGTTGTAAGAATGCACATATAAATTTGGTGATTCAAATTTACATATCTACATTTCATTCAACTTTATTTTTTTGTAAAAAATAAAAGCTTTAGTATATTCACTGCAAGAAACTATGCCTTTAGCGGCAACACAATTGCCGAAAACGAGGGCTTTTAACGGTGACTCTACCATTTGTCGCCGCTAAAAGTCTTTGTCGTCGTTAATTGTGTTGCAGGTAAAGGCTTCTCACCCGAATCCATGTTTTCCCTCTCTGATAGATCTCAGCCATTCGATCGAGTAGCTAATCCAATGGTTGGGGCCTCTTATCCGCACAAATCTAATACCGACGTCATGTGTGTCGCTGCTAATAGTCTAAATAGTCTCTGCTAATAGTGATCTAAAAAATGACCTGGTATCCTTCCCTCCAGATTGTCGCCCCTGTTCCCTCGTGTCACCGGTAAAGCCCTAATTTTCGCCGCTAAAAGCGTCGCCTCTAATGGCTATTGCAGATAAAAAGAAAAATCGACGCAATCTGCTCATTTGCTTCCTCTTTTCCATCTCCATCTGTTTACGCTGCTACGCTGCTGCTCTTCCAATCCGTGCCTCATTTTGCTATTGATTCCTTGATTCCAATAACATATCTCCCCACATTGTGTGAGATTAGGGATCAAGGGTGGTTAGGGCTTCCTGTGACACGATTTCTAGCTCCATCTCGAGAAGAAAGGTAAGTTGAAGTTCTTATATCTCTTTGTCTTTGTATGTGTAACACCCAGTTTCCCAGGTATATTGATTTATGTTGTATTTCTTTAATTATGTAAGGTGACTCGACGAGTTGGTGCTTAGACTCGTCGAGTCTGGTCTCGACTGGATGACGTGGTTAATGAGGGGACTCGACGAGTCAGGGGAGCAACTCGCCGAGTCACAGCTGAAAAAAGAAACCCTAATTTCTCGGGTTTAGGACCTATTTAAAGGCCCTTATGGCCTTCATTTGCGGCTAGCAGTCCATAGAGAGAAACCCTAGAGTGCTTGAGCGTTTTGAGAAAGAAAGGAAGCCATTCTTTACCTTTGTGGTGTTGTTTAGCAAGAAGTAGGAGGTCCTAGCCAAGAGGAAGCAACAGAGGTTGCTATTTTGTGGATTTGAAGCTAAGATAATCGCATTTGAGGTATTAATTCGGCTCATCTTCTGTTTTATGAAGTATATATGGATTTAGGGTTTCTTGTGCCCTTTTGTTAGGTTGATTTGATGTCTAAATAGTCCCTTTCTGGTGATAAGGCTTTGGATTTGGATCCATAGGGGTCCAGAGAGCCTTAATCATCAAGCTTTATGAAGAGCAATGGAAGTTATGACCTTGGGTTAAGGTATTGGGTGCTAAATCATCATATATGGTCATATAGATGTTGCATGTGCATCAAGATAGAGACTTTACATGATTATTAAGATTGGGAAGGTTAGATCTAAGGATTAGAGGAATATATCTGTCCTCAGAAGGTTGTTTGAGGTTGTGCATGAAATAAACTCGCCGAGTCCATAAGCAGACTCGACGAGTCGGAGCGGGTAGTCCCGTGACTAAGATGAGTTGATGACTCGCCGAGTTGGGTTAGTGACTCAGTGAGTCAGAAAGGATTCAAAGGACTCGATTTCACGTATGGACTCGACGAGTCTATGCAAGACTCGACGAGTCGGGTCAAAGGTTGACCGTTGACCAACGTTGACCAGGGTTGACTAGTATTGACTTAAAAGTGTTAGTCAAACTAAGCCAGCAAAAGTGTTAATTAGAGATGTACTTATGATATAGGAGGACGATAGGTCGGGGAATTGAGCACGAGTGATTATTCGACATCAAGCGAGGTGAGTCTTCTCACTATGCCATACCCGATGAGGTAATTATGTGTGACTGGAAGGTCTTATGTGTATGATGTTTATGTGATGCATGTTATATATGTGATATGTTATGAGTATGATGACATGGACCAGAAGGTCAACAGTGTATGGGATGGAAGGTCAATAGAGTTATGGGATGGAAATCCCCTGAGACACTTGGATCGGAAGATCTATAGAGTTATGGCCTGGAAAGGCGTAAGTGTTGTGTGTGGTATTTTGGGGAACTCACTAAGCATTTATGCTTACCGTTGTGTGTTATATGTTTTCAGGTACCAGTGATGATCGCGGAAAGGCGCCGACATGATCAGTACACACTTGCAGATGATATGTTTTTTGAGATCTTGGGATATGGATTATGTATTGTGATTTGTGGAAATATTGGATACATGATTTGGAAATGAAATGTTTTTATTAAAAATTAAATGAAAATTTGTTTGAAATTTAACAGTGTTATAGTATTTTTCAATTTCATTGTTTTTGGTAGTGTTGTCTTTGGGTGTATGGTTAAGGGTACTTTTGGGTGAAAGACGAATTTTTCCAGCGACATATTCGTTGATTTCCGCCACTACAGCTTCTATTATTTCAATTAATTATGACATTTGAGTTTAATTGCAAGTTATGTGTAGTTGTATCAATTATGTGAAAATTGTCATATCTATGTATACTTGATATTTGTATGATCAATCTATGTGAATTTGGTGTATATATGCCAACATATGTGTGTTTGATGTATATGTAGTATATGAGTATTTGGTAGAAGTATATATGATGTTATTATCTATATATGTGAAATTATATGTGTTTGTTATAAGTAGGATGTTATTGTGTGTATGTGAATGTACGTATGTTTGTTGTAAATGTGGTAAATGAATGTGAAATTTGTGTATTTGGTATAAATAAGATGTTATTATGTATACATGTGAAAGTATGTGTATTTGGTTTAAGTAGGATGTTATTATGTGTGTATGTGAATGTATTTATATTTGGTGTAAATGTGGTATATGTATGTGAAAGTAAATGAATTTCATGCTCTTATGTATTATGCAAAAGTATGTGGTTTTGATATAAGTAGGATGCTATAATTGAAAAAAATAAAAATAAATTATTGTTATAATTGGAAAAAAAAACACAAAAAAAATGTTATAAAATTGTTTAAAACCTTATATACGAATAGGAGAAAGTTTCTAGTTTTTTCCCAAGCTAACCCCAAATTAAACCAATGAGTTCTATTGTTAACTTATAATCTTCAATTTAACTTATAACCTTGCAACATATTTATACAATGTTATAAATAAAAATATATATTTTTTAATCTCGATGGTAAAAAAGAACAACACAACAACATAATATAATTGTTTAAAGGACAGTGTTATAATTGAAAAAAAGAATTCTTATAAATAAAAAATATAAAAAGATACAATAGTAAGAAATGTTTTTCAATAGATATACCAAAGACAAAATTGCAAATTTGGTCCCTGTGGTATGTCAAAACTAGCATGTTTGGTCCAAAATGGGTTTGGCTTGCAAGGATGGTCCAATAGTTTCTATTTGTTGCGAGTTTAGTCCAATGGGTTAACAACCGTTACCAAGCTCCCGTTAATTTTCCCATGCCCCTCTCACTTAAGGGTATTTTAGTCTATTCATCCCTGTAACCGTTCCCGCTAAAGCTCAATAAAAGCATTTCGTCTCCTCAATAAAGTAGATCGTCATTGTTTAACCAAGATCAATAAAAGCCCTAGACACAAAATCAGTTCTGTTAGTTAACCTGCGATTTGTAGAGATTATCGGTGGATGAACATGCCAATGTGGTACGTAAGGTTGTTAAACACACCCTTCAACCCCAAGGTTGTTTATGGTACGCAATTTTCCCTTTTTCATCTTTTGATTTCTTGATTTTTTTTGAAGTAAGTCCACATGAGGTGTGTTTTTTCTTGTTTTAAAGATGGACACCCAACATTGTTTACCATTAAGTTGTCGCATGGAGGTGAGTTCACCAAGTACCCTGATGTCCATTACATTGATGGAACTATAAAATATGTTGACATGGTAGATATAGATGAGTTTTCAGTTCATGAGCTTGATGCAATCATGAAGGGTTTTAGATGTGGGTTTCCTCCTGTTATATACTACCATTTTCTTGTGCCTGGTGGAGACTTCCACTTTGGTCTTCTCCCTTTAGGAAATGATGAAGATGTTGCAAACTTTTCTCAATATGCCGGTGAGCACAAAGTGATGAAGGTATACACAGAACATGGTGAAATAAGACTACTCACCTATTTCTTGAATCCGAAGCCTGTTACCAAGGTTACCCTTGTACAGTTAGATGAACCACATGAGGATGTGGAACACATTGATGAAGCTCTTGATGACCAATCAAAGGAAACACCTGTGATGACTACACCTACTGATAATTTAGTTGATGTGGTGCCCACTTAAGCAAACCACCCTGGAATCCAAGTCAATGAAATAGTTCAAGTCGTATCCTTATCACTTGGATATAATAGGAGAAGCGTTATGAGCAAGGATGGAGTGATGCCATCTTGTAGTAAGAAAATATACTTTGATGTTATTAGTGAGACTGAGCAGATAGCCAAAGACTTTGTTGAGGAAGCTACTAATTTTGATATTGGACTCTACCAACAAATACTACAAAGCAATGTTGATGTAGTAAATGGCATTGACATGCATGATGTCAATGAATCTCAGATGGATGAAGAAAACCAAGCTCAGATGGATGACAACCTCAGATGAATGACTTTTAGGATTTTGACTATCAAACTGATGCTATTGTCCAAGATGGAAGTGACAACCAACCTCAGTCTAACATGGATAGTAGTGGGAAAGAAAATGTAAGTGAGGTTGAAAGTAAAGAAAGAAGTGAGACAGAGCAGGAAGATGATAGTGATGCTAGTGATTATTGTGTGGATGAAGATAATGTAATTGAAGATGTTGAAATTGATATGAGGGATTATAACATGACCATTGATACATAAGTAGATTCCTTGGATAAAAGGGCTAGGAATCCTAGACAACATGAGAGTGACGAAGAAGTAGATGAGCTAGATATCATTAACAATGATGCTTTTTATTTCATGGATGAGGATTCTGATTAGGACAGGAAGAGAAGAGCAGTTTTGAAACAACTAAGTAGGGAAAAAAGTTGTTCTTTAGGTGAGGTTCATAAGTGTCATTTTAAAATAGGTCAAAAGTATAACAGTAAGCAGGAGTTGAAAGAGAAAATCAAAATGCATGCATTAGAAACAAAAAAGAATATTACATTTTAAAAAAATGACAAATGCAGATTGAGGGACATATGTAATGGAGTTGTGGCATTTACTAATGATGGAGTTGGTGGACCTACCCAAGCTGAAAAAAGTAAAGGGAAAAGTAAAGAAAAGGACAAACAAGGTGGGACAAGTCAAGAAAAAGCAGTTCTTCTTGTCCTTGGATGTTACATGCGTCGAGGTCTACAGATGCAAGCAGTTGGTACATTAAAACATATGAAGACAAACACACTTGTATGAATACAAGGAAGGTGAGAGTTGCAACAACAAAGTTTATGTCCAAAAAAATCATGGATCAGGTAGAATCCAACCCTACTATCCCAGTTAAAGCTCTCCAAGAACAACTACAGAAGAAGTATGGAGTGGGTTTCTAAATTCATAAAGTTTTTAGAGCTAAAGCAGATGCAAAAAAGATTGTAGTGGGTGATTACAAAAAATAGTATGAAGTTCTGAGAGACTATATCCTTGAGTTGCAGTCAACCAATCCTGAAACCACAGTCAAATTAGAACTTGGAGATGTTTCAGAATCTAATTTGGTGAATTGCACTTCAAGAAGTTTCAAAAGAATCTATGTTTGTCTAGGGGATGAAGAAGGGATGCAAAGCTTGTTTAAGAGATTTCTTGGGGTTATATGGAGCTCATATGAAAGGCCCTTATCCAGTCCAGATCTTAACTGCAGTTGGATTAGATTCCAATAATGGCATATACCCACTTGCACATGCCATTGTAGAGATTGAAAACTATGAATCTTGGAAGTGGTTCTTTGAATGTCTTGGTGATGACTTGGATCTACATACTATGTCTAATTTCACTTTTGTTAGTGACAGAAAAAAGGTAATGGTTGTTTATTTATTATTTTTAATGTTTATTTGTTAATAATGTGTAATTTGTTGATAGGGTTTGCTACAAGCAGTTAGTCAACTGTTCCCATGTTCTGAGCAAAGGTTCTGTCTCAGACATATACATGAGAACATGAAGAAACAATGGAGAACTAAGGAATATAAAGATCACCTTTGGGATTGTGCCACGGCTACAATAGTGCTAGAGTTTAACCATTACATGCACCAATTCAGTTTATATGACAAATTAGCATATGAATGGTTGAAGTCAATACCACCACAACATTGGGCAAAAATCCATTTCACAAGTAAGCTATTATGACCCTTTTACGATTTTACCCTTTACACAACATTATGACACTTTTACCCTTTTCTATACAGGGAGAGCAACTACATACATGATGTTAAACAACTTTTGTGAGGTGTTTAATGGCAAGTTGGTTGATAGGAGAGACAAACCAATTATTAGCTGCTTGGAGTTTATTAGGGAATATATGATGAAGAGGATATGCAATGTCCTCAAGGTGCAACAAAAATGTGTAGGCCCACTCACCCCAACATCAACAAAGATCATGGAGAAGAATGAAGCAGCTGCTATTAAATACATTGCAGAATGGTGTGGTGATGAAAAATACCAAGTGAAAGGCCCATGGAATGATCAACATGCTGTTGATATGCAGGAAAGGGTATGCAGCTACAAGAAATGGGAGTTAACAGGTATCCCTTGTATACATGTGATTTTTGTGTTGTATAACAAAGCAGATCATGCTGAGTGTGTACACAAGATCCATACTTATGTCCACAAGTTGCACTGGCTACAAAGTTGGAAAATTGCATATGGGTACAAGCTGGAACCAATTAAAGGTCGGGCATTGTGGCCTAGAAGTAAGTGTCCAATGCATATCACACCTCCCCCACACCGTAATCAACTCAGGAGACCCAAGAAAAAGAGAAGGCAATCCATGGAGGAGAAAAGTCAAAGCAAGAGTGAAAGTCATAGTCAAAGGTCAGATGCTGGTCCCAGTGAAATTCATGATCATGGTCCACATGGTAGTGGGAAACTTACAAGAAAGTTTGTTAGTGTGACTTGTAGTAAGTGTGGAAACAAAGGGCACAACTCCAGGACATGCAAAGGTCAGAGAGGGACTTGATGGTCTATGTTGGTTTTATCTTTTGGTTTGACTGTATTGAACAACTTTGGTTTGATTCCTAGATGCAGGATGTCTTTTGTTGCAATAACTTTGTTTTCAATTAACTTATGACATGTATTTTGAAGATGGTAATAGGTATTATGTCTTTAGTATGCTTTTGTGTTAACTACATATGGATGCGTTATATGTTATCTTTAGAAGGATATGTATGAACAACAGAACAAATCCATAATTGGTCAATAAATACCAAATTTTCATTACCATTACTTTTCATTACAACAATGTTCGACATTAGCAAAAACTACTTAAACCAGACACATATACCCATATCATATTACAAAAGATAACCACAATCAACCTGTGGACTTACAACAAGAACACCAACACAACAACAAAAAAAACCCAACTATAGACCAGGTAATACTTCAACATAGTTGCTTGTTCTTTGATCTTCTCCATTGATTTTTCATGCTTGCTTGCTTTTTCTTTTATATCATCCATTGCTTTTCGTAGCTTATTGATTGTCCTAAGCAGCCTTGGTATTATAAATTTGGAACGAGCACACATGGGTTCATCATACCACCCAATAAACCACATGATGAATTCTTGAAGAAAAGAAGAAAGAAACATTATATCATCAGGGAGAAATCGTTGAAACAAAGTGTAACATACTTATCGGGTCAGGACATCCCCAAAATCGGCACCCTAGGTTGTTATATGTCCATGATGTCCGAACTATCGCCCACTTTCTATAGAAGCACATCACCATTTTCGATGGAGAAAATGAAATCACAGTGGGGTGATCGATGGAGAAGATGAAATGACAGAGGGAGTGATAGTTAGGGCTTGTTGCTAGAGACGAGAATAGAGACGTTGTATTCTCTTTATAGACTAAATAATAATAAAATAATAAAGGGGCTAGATGAATGGACTAAAATACCCTTAAGTGAGTGGGGCATGGGAAAATTAACGGGAGCTTGGTAACGGTTGTTAAGCCATTGGACTAAACTCGCAACCAATAGAAGCTATTGGACCATCCTTGCAAGCCAAACTCATCTTGGACCAAACATGCTAGTTTTGACATACCACAGGGACCAAATTTGCAATTTTGTCTATACCAAACTATTAATTTTTCTTTATTTAATATTGTTTTCATTAAAAACTAATTGATAAACATATAAAAATAAATCATTGTTCTAATTGGAAAAATAACACAAAAAAATGTTATAAATTGTTTAAAAACTTATATACGAATACTAGAAAGTTTTTAGTTTGTTCACAAGCTAACCCCAAATTAACCAATAAGTTCTATATTTAACTTATAATCTTCAAATTAACTTATAATCTTGCAACATATTTATACAATGTTATAAATAAATAAAAATAGTTTTTACTCTCGACGGTAAAAAAGAACTACACAACAACATAATATAATTGTTTAAAGTACAATGCTACAATTGAAAAAAGAATTATATTATAAGAAAAAAATATAAAAAGATACAATATTAAGAAATGTTTTTTTTATGGATATACTAATTGCTAAATTTTTTTATTTTTAAGTTTTTAAATTTTTTATTTTTTTAATTGTAAAAAAAAATATGAATTGTAAAAAAAACAATGCTAATTCTGTATACTAAACTCTAAACCCAAAATTATGTTTCAGCAACATCATGTGTATTGATAAAATCTGGACTACTAATCCATATGGAAATCATCCCGAGTTCCAAGCAGGACTCAAAGATTTTATCGAGAAGTGCAAGTCACACCTTGATAGTAATGGTAAAATCAGATGTGCGTGTGAGAAATGTGATAACCGTTACTTCAAGTATATAGACTTTAGTAGAACACCATATATTTATAAATGGTTTCAGTAAGTCGTACAAAATTTGGATCTATCAAGGTGAATCTTTTATTCCTTCATTCGACTTGCCAAGTAACGGAATGACCGATTTAATCAACGATGTGATGTGGGAGTTGAGAGAAAATGATACCAACCTTGATGAAGGAACCTTGAATACAAGGGGTAGTGGTGTGGATGATGATTTTGCACAGTTATTAGAAGAAGTGGAAACTAAATTTTATCTTGGTTGCATCTTTTCTTCCCTTGAGTTTCTAGCAAAGTTAATGCATATCAAGGTGAACAAAAAATGGAGTTATAATTCATTTGATCAATTCCTTGAGTTGTTGCAATTAGCATTTCCCAAAGGCAACAAGGTTCCGCTTTCACATTATTTAGCAAAAAAGAAACTTAAGACTATTGGTCTGGGGTATGAGTGGATACATGTGTGCAAAAATGATTGTTGTCTCTTTTGGAAAGAACACGATTCATTGCATGTTTGTCCCGTTTTTAAAAAGAGCTGATGGATCGATAAAAACACCAAGGGTAATAAAGTAGCTCATAAGGTGTTATGGTACTTTCCTGTGAGCCCTAGACTACGACATTTATATTGTTCGAGGAACACTGCTAAAAATATGATTTAGCATAGTACCCGACGTTCAGAAGACGGTGTGATGCTGATGGGTTTTGAGCATTCTAACACTCCTATGGTGTACATGCAACCCTAGAAACGTTGGATCTATGTTTGACTAAGATACATGCAAATAATTATTTTTTCCAAGGTTCTTATCCTAACTAGCATGGCATTGGGTACTTGAATCAAATAAATCTAGTAGAATTACTTACCTTGTAGTTGATTGCTTCGAGTTTGAGAGCCTAGCACCAATAGTGTGGATGCCTCAAATGGAAGTCACAAATCACCACAAACTTGGAAACTTGAGAGAATATTCACAACCTTTCTTGAAATCGGCCCTCTTAGTATACTCACCACAACTAGTGTGATTTCAAGAACCAAAGCCTCCTTTATATAGTGTGGTGAATTAGGGTTACATCCATGTAAACCCTAATACCCATGTCATTTCATTTCCATGAGATCCATGGGTTAAAGCTCCATGGAGTATCCATGGACTTTCCATGCAAGTCTAGCCCATTCCGAATAAGCATTAGCCCACACTATATAAATACAAGAGCCCATATTTAATTTGTCATACTTTTGATCTATAAATTAATTACAGATCAATACCAATTAAATACTATGATTTTATATAATATATTAGAACTTATAATATATTAATAAATTGTAACTTATACTATTCTTAAAATATTATCCATAAATTGTTCGGGTGAAGTACAACCCAAATGGACCATGCCGGGTCGGGTCAAGTACATACAAAATATAGTTATGGACTAAGAAACTATATTCAATAGATGCGTCATCCTGTTGATGGGGAACATTGGCAAGATTTTGATAAAAGATAACCCGGCTTATCGAGTGAACCCCGTAACATACGCCTAGGTCTTTCAGCTGACGGTTTCAATCCATTTGGACACATATGTAATCCACATAACACATGGCCGGTCATACTCGCCACATACAATCTGCCACCCTGGCTTTGTATGAAGGAGTCAACATTCATGTTGACTTTGTTGATTCCCAGCCCGAAAGCTCCTAGTAAGGATACATATGTTATCTTAAGGCCGTTGGTGGAAGAGCTTAAACATTTGTGGAACTCAGTCGAATGTATTAAAGATGTGGCGACAAACACATTCTTCACGATGGGAGCTATGTTCTTATGGACAATAAATGACTAGCCAGCTCGTAGTAGTCTTTCAGGTTGGAGTTAGCAAGGGTATAGAGCATGTGCTACTTGCAATGAAGACACTCCTTCGTACCTTGCAACAAACAAAGTCGTATATATCGATCATCATCGTTCCTAGATGCTAATGATGTGTTAAGAAAGAGGTTGGACTTTAACGGGATTGAAGAGATAATACCTGCTCTGAGACACTTTAGTAATGATAACATACAAGAGCAACTAGGTTGTCTACTAAGTCGTAAACCGGGTAAGCATCATGGGTATGGAGGTGGGGAGCCAAAGAGGCAAGATTAGGAGTTCAACTGGTGGAAGCGAAGCATTTTCTTCGAACTCGAGTATTGGTAGAGTCAATGTTGTTTCTAATTGTGAGACTGATTACGATGAGACCGATTCTGATTATGATACCGAAGAAGACACCGAAGAATATGAGAAAGATTCTAATTAGAATAGTTCTTATGTAATACATGTTTGTAATATGAACTTTATTTGGATTTCTAGTTAAATAGAAATGTTTATTCCTATGTAAATGTTTATTTCTATGTAATGTGTATTTGTAATAAAAAGTGTATTTGTATATCTTATAATTTCTCAGGAAATGATGTCAATATCCCTTTTTTTGTGTATACCATGGCTGCTGTTATGGGTCGTGGATACGGGGGTGATGGAGCTGAGGACCCACCTCTCCCAGGAGGTAGAAGTGCTGGTCATCATAAGCAGGACCATAAGTCCTATTATGAATTTTTATTTACTATATTTATTTAGTTATTATAAATTAAATGTAGTTTCTAATAATTTTCAATTACATTTGAAGTTGAGCAACGTATATGTAGGAAAGTTCAAGGCAAAGCCAAAATACAAAGCTTGAAATGTAACATCCCGTTTATTGAGTAAATGAGTAGAAAAAGATTTATAAATGAATAGTAATCCTAGAATAAATAATATTTAGTAGGGTGCTGGTGTTGGGGAGCTAATTGATATAAATTTTGGAGGTTAGGGTTAAAAGAGTATGTTATGGATTTAAATTGAGAAGGGTTTCACAAGTAAGGGTGTGGATGGTAAGTTTTGGACCTGATTTGAAAGGAGTCTATATAATCAGGGGTTAAAAGGTAACTTTTGGAATTGCATTGGAAATAAATTAGTGGGGAGGGACCAAAAGTATTTAATTTACATCATAGTTTGGGAGGAACACAGGTTAATCTCGTATACTTGTTTTCCTTTTGTTCGGATGGGATTAGGAACGCTAGCGCTACACTATTGCATATCGGCCGCCACCATGCCTTTGAAGCACCTTCAACGTTCGCGAGTGAGTCCTTAGCCGCCACCCATCATCTCCATCGCTATTCCAA